AAGATGAAATGGCCCACGTTATCACTTCATACCTGGAGAGCATCGAAGATACTAAGGCTCAAGTGCTAGTGCTTCTTCCAGACTTTGACGTCAGCCAGGTGGGTATCCAGCCTTTGGGCAATTAGGCGACCGAGGCGGTGGAGCCAACTGACGGCCAACTCGGCGATGAGCAACCTGCCCAACCAGAGGCAGCCGATGAGCGCATAGATGTCGATGCGTGAAGTTGCTTACACAGGGCCGGGGCCTCCTTCGTATAGCCTTTTGTCTTTTCTTCTCTTCGTACAACTCATTTTTTGTTAATCTTTTTGTAAGGGGCTCGACCTCCCACATCAGAGGCCGATTTTTTTGTAAAGTGCAAAGTGCAAAGAAATCTTAATGAAAAATACATCAAGTTTTTGTGAAATCCATGCCTTCTTTATTTTTCTGTCTTTTTTCTCTTTTTCTTTTTGTACAAGGGGTCAATGCCCCCTTTGAAGGGGCATGAGTTTCAGAAATAACTTGCTATCTTTTTAGTTAGCTATTTGCTTAGGATTTCCCATTAAGGCGGTTAGGCCGAGGCCGACCTTCGCTGCCAAGGTCTTGGGGCCTCTTTCCTTAGCTAGAAGGGAAGGGAGGTGATTGCCTTAGCCCACCTGGCCTTCCTTCCTTAGGGACTTAGAGAATGGGCTCACACGTTGTCATGGCCCAGCGAGTGATGCACAACTGAGGTCGCAAAGTGCCTTTGCCTTAGCAAAGTAGCATTTCTCACTTAGTGTATTTGTTCATCTTAGTTTGCATTAGGTGGTGGGACGATGTCATAGGCCGATACCATGGCCGAGGTCCCGAAAACTCTCTGCCTTAGACAAAAGGCGAGTAGGCATATGACTCTTCAAGAGTTGTGTGCCTTGGCCGTCGTCTAATCCGAGCGTATAACCTTAGTGAAGGTTGTGTTTGTTACGGCTAGTCGTGTGACCAAGGAGTCTTGGCGATTAAATGGAGTAAGAATGATTACACTAAAGATTCGAGCCAAAGATAAAGGAACTTTGCACACTATTGATAAAACTTTCACTAGTGATATTACATTATTGATAGTACATCCAAAGGTTCTCAGAGTTCCAAGTACGAGGTATTTTCCTTCCACTCAAGTAGTCTAGTCGAAATGTGCCAGGGCCGACCACTTGCTTGATTCTGTAGGGCCCTTCCCAATTGGGGCCAAGTTTTCCAACACCGAGCTCGGGCACCATGACTTTTCTGATGACAAGGTCACCTTCTTTGAAGTGACACTCTTTGACCCAGGAGTTATAGTATATGATGACTCTCTAATGATAGGGCGCGGCCCTGACTTGAGCCTTCTCTCAAATGCCTTCCAACAAATCTAAGTTGTTTCTGAACTCTTCATCGTTGTCGGCCTCAGTCCGAAGCGTCAGTTGGTTGGTCTTTGCTGGAATGACAACCTCGGTCCCATATGTCAAGTTAAATGGGGTCTAACCCGTGGCAGTCCTAGGTGTCATCCGATAGGCCCATAGGATGTTGTACACTTCGAGGAGACATCTGAGGTAAGGCAAGGTGGAGGACCTTTTGTATAGTTTGCCTTCGAGAAGAGCATAATGGGTTGCTTGTTGTCGGACTTTCCTAGCTACATTCCTGTCGAAGGGCAACTGCTCATACTGTAGAAAGGCAAGGATGGGGTCCATCTAGCAGGACTTGGCTTGGATGGGGGTACAACCGCTTCTTTTCAATGTTGGGCCATGCAAGTTTCTCAACATGTATAGTACGACCGAGGGCCAAACCCAAGCTGCTTTCTAGCTTAGATAGGGCATCGGCTCTCATGTTCTCGGCCTGAGGGACCTGATGTAGTGCCATGTGCTATAAGTGGTTGGCTAGCTCTTGGACTTTAGCCAAGTACTTTGCTATATTTTGTTCTCTAGCTTCATACTCTCCATTTACTTGGTTTGCAACTAATTGTGAGTCGCTAAAAACCTCAATGTACTTGGCTCCGAGGTCTTTGATGAGCTATAGTCTGATAAATAGGGCCTCATACTCGACTTCATTACTGGAGATAGGGAAGCCGAACTGTAGTGCATATTCCACCTTGCTATCATCCGAGGTGAGAAGTATGAGGCCTGCTCCGCTTCCTTTGGCATTGGATGACCCATCCACAAACACTCTCCAGGTAGGTCGAGGCCTCTCATCCTCTTCAGGGGCTTGGCCGAGGGCTCTGCTGAATGTGCATTCCACCAAGAAGTCTACCAGTGCTTGGCTTTGATTGTGAGCCTTGGCTAGTAGTGTAAGTCAAACTCTGACAGCTCAATGGCCCATTTGATCAATCGGCCCTAGGTCTTTGGTTTGGAGAATATAGAACTGAGGGGTTGGATGGTTAGTATTGTGATGCTATGAGCCTGAAAGTAAGGCCTAAGTTTCTTAGCCATGACTACCAATGCAAAGGCTACCTTCTCCACCTTAGGGTATTTGGTCTCAGTACCGCAAAGGACCTTGCTAACATAGTAGATCAACCTCTATACTCCTTCATCTTCTTGTACCAGAATAAAGCTGACGGCCTCATCCCTGACCGAGAAGTATAGGAGCAAGGTTTCTCCCGGGAGGGGTCACGTGAGCAAAGGTGGCGAGGTGAGGTAGAACTTCAATTCCTCGAAGGTTTTTTGGCATTCTTCAGTCCATTGGAAGTCCTTCAGCTTCTTAATGGTTCAAAAGAAGGGTATGTAATGATCGGTAGATTTCAACATGAATCGACTGAGAGCTGCCACTTGACCGATGAGTCTTTGTTGTCTCTTTGATGGACTGAGGTGGCTCCATATCAAGTATGGCCTGTATCTTTTATGGGTTGGCCTCTATGCCTCGTTGAGTAACCATGAAGCCCAAGAACTTGCCTGAGGTGGCGCTGAAGGCACACTTTCTAGGGTTCAACTTCATATTGTATTTTCTCAACACCTCAAAGGTCTCGTTGAGGTCTGAGGTGTACTAATTGGCTTTCAAGCTCTTCACCACCATGTCATCAACGTAGGCCTTGACGTTCCTTCCCATCTGGTGCTTGAAGACCTTGTTCACTAGTCGCTGGTAGGTGGTCCTAGCATTCTTCAATCTGAAAAGCATCACCTTATAGCAGTAGGTGTCTTGCTCGGTGATGAATGAGGTATTCTCTTCATCATCGAGGTGCATCTTGATCTGATTGTATTCGAAGAAGGCATCCATGAAGCATAGCAACTCGTACCCTATGGTGGCGTTGGTGAGGTGATCAATCCTCAACAAAGGAAAGTTGTCCTTAGGGCAGGCCATGTTGAGATTTGTGAAGTCAATACAGATGCGCCACTTCCCATTAGCTTTCTTGAACATGTCCACGTTAGATAACCATTTAGGGTAATGTACCTCTTGGATGAAGCCGATGTCGAGTAGCTTATCTACCTCCTCTCTGATGACTTTCCAATGCTCCGATACAAAGTTCCTCTTCTTTTGCCGAACTGGCCTACAGCTTGGGTCCACGCTTATCCTATGAGTAATGACTGAGGGTAAGGTTCAAAGTATCGATATGTATCAACCTGTACCGGCCGATACTTATCGTATCAGAACCTTCCCGATATGCCCCTCTAGGGGTATTTCGGGTTGGCATGTGGTTCAAGGGGTAGACCAGCCTTAAACCGGCCCCTCTGAGCTAGATTCAAAAGAAATAAAAAAAAAAACAAAAGAAGGAGTACCGATACAGGCTGATACACCCTACCGGCGTATCGGCTAGTATCGATACTTTGAACCTTGACTAATGGGTCAATTCCCGGCATGTTAGCAGTAGACCAAGCAAAGACGTCGGCATTAGTTTTGAGGAAGCTTACTAGTTTGGAAAGTGTGTCTTGAGGAAGGCGTGACCCGACATGTACCGTCTTTTCAGGTTCGGCCTCGTCTAGGGAAACCGAGGCGAGATACTTGGCCGACTGACCTCGGCTCGCTGGTTCGTCCTTGAGGTTGATCCCTTCCAATAGAAAAACTTCTTTATTCTTGACTTTTAGTTCTGCTACAGATCGCACCTCACACTAATTAGGGATTGTTTAAATTGGGATTTACTCCTCACAGATTGCACCTCACACTAATCTCATAATCACATCCCACCGTGTATTGAAAACATCTTTATTGAATAATAACACAAAAGTACGAGAAATATTCCCGATACATGATGGGATACGCATGTGAGATTGGTGTGAAGAATAGATCCAGATTCGGATTGTTTAATTCCATTGGCACTTATTTGCAAAACATTTTACGATTTTTTTCTTAAAATCAAGACAATACCGTTTTTCTTGCTTTTTATGGCAGCTATGACATTGGGTGCCACATAAACATTTGTAAGGGGGAGTACAGTCTACTTATCCCTTAAAAACATGCCTAATGGTTCATCAAAATGATGTTTTCCATTGGATGGGACTCACATAATCTAAAAAAAAAAAGTATTTTATTGATAAATGACAACCAAATAAAATTTTAATCTTTGAGCGCATTCTACAATGTGAAACCAACTTTTTTTTTAAAACAAAATCAGAGTTCAATAACATGTTTTTGTTTTTAGAACGCCCCCTCTAATGTCGGGTTGAATTGAATTGGCACTGATTTTCTGATAAACTACAATGACCAAACACCAAGGTTTTAAAAACTGAACCGGACATAAAACCATTCTGGGGACTGTTCCTGGGTCAAACGGTCTGATTGTCCGGTTCAAATAGACAACTCATTGTGACTTAAAAATAAATAAAATAAAAACGGCCAAAAACTGTTGTACCATTGTCCGGGTATGGTTCAACTGCCCAGATTAACGAATTACTGACCAAATCTATGGTTTTTTGGCCAAAAAACGATTTTAGGCTGAAACAGAATTGATTACCTAACCGTTTCCGGGTCAACCGGGCAGACCGTCCGGTCCGGTCCGGTTTTCAAAACCACGCCAAACACCATTACACCATCCTTAGATGGATATTCTCTTCTTTTTAATACACGGGGATAATCTAAACTGCGGTTGAGAAGAGGACGCGTGGTGTTTCGAGAGCGTCTTTGTATGGGAGCTGGCAGCCAGAGACAGTTCCCCTACCACGTGCTCCGTCAAAAACTGCTCACAGAAACACTGAAGGAGCCACCGGCAAGTGGAATAGCAGCGGTCGCCGTTTGCAGCGGCACCCAAAACATTCATATTGACCTTCACCAGTCTTCTTATTCTCAATAGGTCATCAGTTGGAAGAGAAACAAGCTGAAACCCAAGTTTCCAATGAAATGGGTGCCTCTAAAGCATCCATTTTCAATCTTCCTCCCTTGACAACCCCAAAAGCTAGAAACACACAGACCCTCCAACGAGCAGATACCAATAAGACGCTCTCTGTAGCTCCACCAATAAGGAGGCGTTTGTTGGTCTTCTCTCTCCCAGTCTCCACCCTTCTTCTGGTTCCCTCTACAAGTCGGCCTCGCTCTTGTTCTGCTCTTCAGAGCTTCGAACCTGTTAGCCCTGCTGAGAAAGATGCCAGTAATGCCCTCTCTCGGCGAATTTTCGAAGCTGTTCAATTGCTTGATAAAGGGAGGGAGTTGCAGGCTCAGGGAGACTTCAATCAAGCACTCGAGTATTTTACCACGGTATCCATTTCTTTGCTTTCTTCGGATTTTGTTTTGTTCCCCAATGAGGATTCAAAATCCAATTTGCATTAAAATTTCCGAAATAGATAGGGAAAATGAACCAGACTTTGTGCTTTGTTTCAATGTTAAGTCAATGATGCAACCCATGATAGTTTTATGCTTAATTGATCCCAAGGTGATGGTGTCTGAGCTCATGACCTTCTCCCAATTTGTGCAACTTTCTTGGTTGCTGTGTAATTTATCACACTAGAAGTGTTTCTCGTGTCTGATTATCTTCTATATCTAGCTAGAGCAGTAATAATATCTATAGCTATTGGGCACAGTACTCGGAGCTTCCATTAAAGGCGATGTTATAGTTTTTATTTCCCTTACAGAAAAAATGTCTTTGTTAATTGGAACATGAAAGCATGTGTTGATCATTAGGTGTGGAGAACTCTAGATCCATCTTTCGGTTTTCTCTTTTTGTTAGAAGGTCGTTTCCTTGATCACTGGATTGTAATAGTTGCTTGCTTATGTCCTTAGAAACCTTAGCAGGAGTCTGTTATGACCCTTGCTCCCAGTTGCAGGTTAGGTTCAATCACTTGTAATGGGCTTGAGGCTATTTCTGAACTGTTTAGTTTTCATTAGAGAAACTCTAAGATCATTGTTGCTGTAGGTTCTGTCTTTGCTGTTTTGTCTGTCTACTGGACTACCCTGTCATGGGCCACCTATTCCAAGATGCATATCCTTTTAAACAGCATGTCATGTAAGAAATCATACTTCTCATGTCTGGGGAAGATAATAACTACAGAACATATCTTCTTCCTTTTGTAAATCCTTTGCAAATGTATTTTAATAACTAGCATTACTGCCACAGCTGGTGGTCCAATAGTCCATGACCATCTATAGCATAGAAATGTATATCTGTTTAAATTATATATCTTGTTGTTCTGTTGATTTTTTTTTCATTGATTTTTCTAACCGCCCTCAAAGAACATTGTGTCGTTTAGGAAAATTCAGACCCAAGTTTATGTGATGGCTGCATATTGTTCTGTAGGTCATCTAACAAATTTATTGAAGAATTTAAGTGGTGGTGTTCTATTCCTTCGAAAAATTCCATCAAATTTCAATTGAGGCACAGACATATTTCCTGGTTATTGCATAATAAGCAATGAAGACGAAAAAAGATCTGATATCAAATAATTATCATCTACATAACTTGTGCCTTTTCATCCTGGGACGAAAGACTCAACAACTCACCTTCTGTTGCCTATTGATGACTCACCAGTATCCCATATCAAAATTTGGAAAATGTAAGATGGGTTATCCGCATTAGAATCAAGTTAAAGACCACAAGTATTCCCAAATTGTGTATACTTTCTCCAATAGGAGGAGAATTTGGAAAGGTACAAACTACACAGATTAAGTTAATAGAACTCCTACCTTCAGTTAAAATCATCTACTATATAGATTTCCAAGTATGAACCAAGAACAACATGGGATTAAAGCTTTTACATTTTCTTTTTCTTTCTTTTTAAGATCAGCAACACAGAAATGATTTCATTAATAAAAAGAAAGCATGGTTAAAACAAGAGGTTGTGAAAAACGAAAGAAGACAGACCCAACCCAAGAATTACAATTGAGCCCAATACAGATGAGTTTTTCACGTTTTTTGTACCCCTTGCTTAGCTAGACCATCTGGCAAGCTGTTGGCAGTTCTCCTCACCTATTTATCAAATAATGATAAATGTGACGATAATTTCTCTTTCTTGCCTATAAATTAGAAAATTTTCATTACAATTTTAGCACACCCACATCAAAGTTTAACCAGTTTTGATTGTTCATGAAACTATGTTAAGCTTATGACATGATATTCTGGACATTCAGCATAGATTGGAGGCCTATGTGGGATACATATGATTCAATTGATTATGTATTTATTTTCATCAACACAATAGTTGGTTTCTGTGATGCACATGTTGCATAAGGAGTTGAAAAGCAGGAGCACGTATGATTCTTTTTTGGTCTTCAGAGTTCAGACATGATACCATTTAGGAGATTGGTACGCAAACCTGCAATAATAAAACCTCACTTGTTATCAACTTTGTCATCACTCTAGGTGGTGAAGGAGTACAAAGATTTTGCATTTTCAGAGTATGCAAGAGTGGGAAGAGCATTGGCCTTATATGAGATTGGTGATAGAGAAGAAGCAATTGCAGAAATGGAAGATGTTTCAATCTCCCTAAAGGGGTATCCAGGTACATCAGAAAGGATGATGACACAGTACATATTTAGACAGACACACAAGAAAAGAAAAATGTTCTTTTTGTTTGTGTTTTTTCACTGAATGTTTCTAATTCTACTCTTCATGGTTCTTGTCATGTAGAAGTACATGCAGCTCTAGCAGCAGCCTTGTATGTAGACAAGCACGCTCCACTGCTTGCTGAAAACCAGTTCACAATTGCCACTCTGCTTGATCCACACTATACAGATCTCTCTTATGTAAGAGAAAAAAAGCATTGGCCTCCAAGCTTGGTTGCTTCTTTGCAACACTTCCTTACACTTTCTTAAGACTGTTGAATATGTTATATGAGGATATTAATCTTATAATATAAAGACTCCTTTCAAGTTTCAACTGATGTATATATTGAAGACATTCTTTTGATGAGGAATTAAATATAGATCCTGATGTTCAGCGTCACTTTCTTTGTATATTTTTTGTAGAATATTTCAAAAGGACCAAAGACATACGGAAGTTATCACCCTCTATGCCCAAAGTCACATTCCAATTGGAAACAAAAAGACCTCTTATATAGAAATCTTTGAATTAATGTTGGCCCAGAAACTGTGTGTACTGTTTACGTTTTGTAGAGCAACTCTTTGCACACAGCCCAAAATCATGGACTGGGTTGGGTCCGGCCCCAAGTCGGGCTTTAGAAATTAGAAGTTAGAACCTAAAGGCATAGCCCAAGCCACCAGGCGGACAGCTACAAGTATTATCATAGTTGTAAGTTTGTAATCATGGTTGAGGTAGATTTTAGGTGTGATTCAAAAGTTAGGAAGGGTAGTTTTGCCTTTTCAGTGTTTTGTCTTTTGCATTAAATTGTATACACTCACACTTATTCATGTCCACACAAATTCTATTTGATTTTTGACCAATTTTAAATTTTCCTCCACCTTCGAGTCATTTTTCCTCTCTTACTATATACATGAATCTCATATGAGATAATTACAACTGTTAAGCTTATTACTAAGATGGGGACCCCAAATGGGATGTATATTCATATGCATTCTCTTGGCTTGGTGGGTATTTTGGAATCCTTTTTCATACCTGTGTGTCAAGCTGAGCCGGGTCGTGGGTGTGGGTTATCTACCCTCAAACATTTTTATGATGTAATTTTAAATTCCAACTATTGTGATTCTTTCATTTAATCAAATGACTTCATTTGAATTTAAACAAATAACTTTTCGATTTAAAAACAAATGTCTTTTTGTTTCAAATTTGCATCTCTTTATCATTGTCCTTTAGGCTCAGTTTGGAAGGACTATAACATATTTGTATTTGTACTCCTTCCAAACTGAGTGTTAATGGCGTTTCTCAGAAGGGTTATCATCTTTCTCACTTGTGGAAGTTCATTCATTCATATTCGTATCATCTCTTGCCGAAATGAAGATTGCTGTTGTTCATGTGGCTTAGTATTCTGAGTGCATGGTTATTGCCTTTTAAGACGGTTGAATTTTGGAATAGAATGCCAGATTTTCTATATTGCACTGGATTTGATCAAAAGGAGGTGAAAGGACAATGTTTCAAACATACTTCAGCTGATGATAAATACTTTTAACCTTACATTTACTATTCTGTCTTGTCTTCTTGCGCACTCATGGTGGTATCTTACTTCACGCACTACAATAGCTGGGACAGTTTTCAGCCTATCTACTAAGGTGCACGCCAACCGATAATGGTTAATCAAAATTCAGAACTTTCAAACGACAAGAAATGGAGTGAATGGGGTAATATGTCATGGATGAGTTCGGATTTCCTCCCAACAGAATTAGTCCTTATACCCACCTCACAGCCTTTGCAGCTGTACATCTAGATATATTTTTATTATGGGAGATGTTTTCAATGCATAGCAACAAGTACTATAAGATGATGAGTGTGAGGACCAATTTTATGAAGAGAAAATACAAACCGATCATTGTGCAGTGGGTGTGAGGATCAATTCTAGGGAGAAAATACACAAAGTGCTTAGTTCATATCTGCTAATACATTGCAGTACGGGTCCGGATGTAGTTAGGCCACAATGAGTGAGCACATATGTCCTATTTAATGTGTCTTTCATCCAAATGTTTTTGTTCTATTAGACAGAAATTATCTATTATTTTATTATTTTTGTTAAAATAATTAAAAATAAAAACAATGGAAAAAGAAAACCTAAATATGTTGGGAGTTGGAACTTTTTTTTATTGTTTTTATTTTTAATTATTTTGATAATGGATAGAACAAAAACGTTTGTGAAAGACGCATTAACTAGGACATGTGTTAACAGCTATTACATGCTTACAAATTATGCTTACCTAACGTGCTTACTACATCCGGATCCGATTTGGACACTGTCCACAACTACACATGCACAAGCTCAGGCTGGTGTTAGGCCCAGGCGCCCAGCTGTTAATCCTTCTGTTAAGCCACTTTGATCTTTCTTGTTATTTCAAGTGAAAATACAATTATTTGGTTATGTTATTTCAAGCCTAAAACCATTATAAATAGAATAATCGTTTTCACCATCTTCAAAGAACACAATAACAACCAATTGGTACTTATGGCTTTGATGTAGGACCGGTTCAATAAGTGGGTGTTCTTAATTAATACGTGGCAAGAATATGCTGTGGGACATTGTGGGAAAGTATCTTGTAGGGGACTAATTTGAACTCGTTTTTTTACTGGCGCCTAATGGCATTGAGGTGTCAAAACAGTCCGGATTTCCTACAAACTTCCCTCTACTAACCCATTAAAATTGTTCCAGCTGTTACTAAGCCCTATCTAGTGTAATGATAGACTAATGTCTTAATTAATCCCTCCGTTAGATACTATTTTAAAGAAATACCTAATTTCCAGATTTCCTACAAACTTCTCTCTACTAACCCAAAACTATTATATTTTTATTTTTAGAAATATTTAGTTAATGCATAAAAACAGATATTTCTTTAAAATAATATTTAACGGAGGGATTAATTAAGGCATTAGTCAATCATTACACTAGATAGGACTTAATTTTAATGGGTTAGTAGAGAGGGGAGTAGAAGGAAGTTTGTAGAAAATCCGGACTGGGTGTCAAAAACCGTTTAAAACAGATTTTGTCCCAAATTTTTTATACAAAACCATGAAAAACATTTACTAAATAAAACATAAACACCATATATATTAAACCATTCCAGCAAATACGACACAAACACTCGCCTTGACAACAAATTTCACATAAAAAGACAATACACTTCACTGGCCAAAAATTCTAGTGTTCAGCAAGCACCGACCATCAAAACCATTCCAACAGAAAGGACGACACAATAGAATACACACCTTGACAATTCAAAGCAACGCCCTACACACTCAATCCATAATCTTGACGTTACTACCGACCTGATGATCAAGTCTTCAACAAGCACCAATGGACCGACCAACATGTCACAGAAACCGTTCCAACAACAACACTAGAACACACATTTTCACAATAACCATTATTTCTTCTTATTTAAGCCATCAGAAGATAAGAAATCAGCACCACTGAAACACAGTATAACAGAACCAAAGGAGGGCAGGGAGACTGCTGGTTGCTGATGACTTGATAGACATCATTGATTTTGTCTAAATTTTCGGCTGCCATCTCCGACCCTTTTTCGATCGTGTTTTGATTAATTTCGACAAGAAGACGTCCTTGCCTTCACACCATCAAAAAGGTAAGGGAAATGAATTGAGAGTAGTGGAGTGGAGTGGAGTGGAGATGCATGCGTTGCAACATGGAAAGCCTGTAATTAATTCTGTAGGTCCTATGCCAGAAGGGGTGCCAAACTGATCCCTGAAGTATATTTCTTCATTGGGATATTCTTGGGGATGAATAAACTGAAGAACCGTGACAATTATAAAAAAAAAACTGTTCAACCTAAAAGTAGGGATGCAAATGGATTAGATCGGATTTTATAGGCCTTAGATTCGAATTCGAATCCTATTGGTAAGTTGGATCTTTGGATCTGATTCGATTCGATTTGTTTACTTTAAAAAGTTAATAAACTATTAAAAGAAAATTAAAATATATATCAATTTAAATAAAAAATAAAAAATATAAATATTTGTTTAATTATTTTCATCATATATATATATATATATATATACATGCTTTTTATAAAAATAAATAAATAATATAACAAACCTATAAAAATACAATATAAATAATATATTTATAAATATATAATATATATTGGATCGGATCTTCTTAAATTAGATAAGGGGTGATCCAAATTCGATCTGATTTTTTACCAGATCCTATTATCTGATTTAAACATCTGAACAGGAGTGATCCAATGATCAAATCACATATCAGATCAGATCATAATCAGATCCATTTTCGCTCCTACTTAAAAGGATAAACTATTAGGTGACATCGCTAAATAGGCTTTTTTTCTTTAATATGCCCCCTAAGACAAAAATCTATTGGGTTGAAGTGTAGACAAATATGTCAACTAAGCTTTAATACCATATCTAAAAGCTTAAGGTATTAAATAATATGCATCACTGAATAGGTTAATCTGTTGCATGCAGGTGATAATTGTGAATTGTAATAAACATGCGAATAAGATAAAAGTCCTAATTTTATAATTATAATCCGAGGCAAAAAGATTTCCAAAGAAAAACCAAGGTGAATTTCTGATAAAGACAAAGGGGAGAGTTGAATGAAGCTAAATTAACATACCTATTGGCTGCTCCTGGAAGAGTATCGTCCGAGGAACAAAGCATGAACAGAGTAGCACATATGGCCAGAGCCAGGGCCAGGGCCAGGGCCATGACCATATAGGTCTTACACACACACACAGTGTGTGTGGTGACTTCAATGTAATGTATACACGGTTAGCGACGTGTCATTGTAGATGACCATCATTTTATTCCGCGTAGGATGTGACATTAATTTTTCAGTAATTATTGATCCGAATAATTAATTAATCCTTGACAAATATTGATTGATCATTTCATAAAAATACATAAATCAAATCACTGAGAGTCAATAACTAAGTTTCAAAAATTATTATATGTAATTGATTTTGACTGAAATTAATTTCCACAAAAAATTATTGAGAATTTTCAATAATTAGTGAAACATTAATAAGCATCTGAAAATTGTTCTCAATCTTTGTTGAAAGGTTTTAATAAATTGCTGAAATTTTTCAAGAATTACTAAAATTAAGATAATGCCACTGTATATATTGGACAAACCTAATTTGTACATAATTATCCCTATTTAATGATTTTTTATTAGTGCCAAAGATTCAATCCCAAATCTCGACTCCCCTAACCCGTTGGTTGGCACTTTGCATAAATTCCTAGAACCTCCTCTCTATCTTACTTTATCACCTCAATAAACTATGACTATAATACCCTTCCCTCTTCCTCTCCCTCTCCCTCCCTGATGCATCTAATCCACACGTAGT